ACTTCCCTGGAAACTCGCAGTCGGATGTGAGCGATGTAAATTCCCAAAGGGGGGGTCGTGATTTTTTTGGCACAAACCGGAGAAAAAATTTTACTCCATAGACGTTTGTGGCGAGCACCCTCTAAGTAGCCTTGAATGGGGGTGGGTCGCCTGTTGTAAGGGTCAGAAGGATGAGAATAGGTCTCCGAAAAAAATAAAAACGTTGATTTGTCGGCGTTGTTGATAATATTAGGTGGTCTCTACGGAGGGGGCGGGGTGCTGTTCTACCTTACTCTACGGAACATCTGAGTCTTTCGTTAAGATCTTTGGCGGACGTGTCCGTTCCTCTTCTGCGACTTTTCAGTCAGTTCCCGCTTGCCGAAATTATTTTCAATGTGTTCGTAAATTAAATGTGTGTGGATTCTACGAGCGCACCACATTGTTTTACCTTTACACCGTCTCACAGTCCCGCGCGAGGGGTGTGAGGGTTGCTGGCCCAAGTTCCAAGTCGCAGTCCCCCATTCTTCTGCTAGTTAAGAACCGGACCCGAGAAAGGACGCACCAGTAGACCTCCTAGAAGGGGTAGCCGGCCGGCAGGCAGCCCCCTTGCCCAGGTTTGCGTTAAGGACCGAGAAAAAAGACCATCGATTTACCGTTAGTAAGGCGACCGCAGGACAACCAATAAATTTGTAAAGGCGACGATGTTGTTAATAAGGTCGGCAGTTTATTTACTCACCGATAGGCGTCGACAGCGAGTCAACATTGTTTGTAAGTGTTACAGTAAAGTCGGAACCAAAGTTTCAAACCTTTAGCATTCCTAAAGGCGGTCTACGAATTTACCGATTGGCCCTTCACTGCTTAAAAGTCTTATTTTTGACTAAAATTTTAGTTTAACTCACATAAATATTAAGGGTTTAATGCGGTATCCAGGTTTGTAAATAGGGGAATTAAAGATTTGTTCTTGTGTCTCCGCAACTCCAAGGTGGTGGGGGTACCAAAAGGTGTCATCCATTACCCCCAGCAGAACCTCCTGTCTTTCTTCCGAACTCAACGTAGTTTTTGTGCCAGATAACTCAAAAATTGCGTTTTTCGCAAGATAAAACCAAGAGTAGGACTGGTAGTATACTGTGAAGAGGAGTTATGGAGAGGACCTAGTAACAGATTTACGGAAGAGATTGGTTTTTGAAAGTCCTGGGCGGGACCTTGTAACCATGGACCGAATTCGGTCCGCCCCTGTGCAAGACCGTGACGGCCGTCTTCACTCAGGGGATCGCCGTGTGCATCACAGCGCAATGACTTTCCATTTCGTAAATCTATTTAGGTCTTCTCCTGGGTCCTCGTGTTAGAAGTATGCCGAGTTCGTACTTTGGTTTCGATCTATGTTGCACACCAAAGACCCTTTTTTCGAGTGATCTGCGCAAGAACCACTAGTATACGTTGGTATCCCACTTCTTATAACGCACCCGGGGTCTAGGCTCCTTTCTGTGTGGTATCGGAATGAACTTTTACCCCACCTTCATCTATCGGAGACAACAGAACAATCTATTTCACAAAATTTATGATTCCAACTTATACCCATCGGAAACAATGAAAGCCATTAAACTTAATTTATGGATAAACTAAATTTAAGCAAAATAAGCTTAGCAGTGAAGGCCCCACAAGGGTTCCCTCCAGAACGTAGAACCCGACCATCTTAGATATGGCTAAAGTCTTGGAACTTGGTTCCACTTACTGTACACTACAACCCAAGTAACTGAATACATGTGACCGTGTGACCCTAATCGTGAGTAAATAAACTGCGACTTATTCCACCACATCGTCCACGTACGAGAATTTATGGTGTTCTGCGGTCTTACTACGTTAAAGGCGGGATGCTACTCCATTCCACCCCGCCCCTTACCATTATAAACCGGATGTGAACCTGGGCAAGAGGCTGACCTGCGAACACCTAGTGGTTATCACTCTTCTGGCAAGTCTACGTGGTTGTCCTTCTCGTTCGGTCCATTACTAGAGACAATAGCCGGGGACTGACTTATATCTGACTGGCCTCCACGAACCTGGACACCGCTCTCCGCTGAGGTGAGCGTTGATAAGTAAAACATGTGGTGGTGTAAAACACCACCTCAACACTTAATTTACGACAATTGATAAATATTTCGAAAGGGAACTGGAGAAAAAGCAGAGGGACGGGCAAAAGTCCCCAAGACTCTTAACCTAATACCCCGGGTCCAGCTAATCTGGAAACGAATATGTACACAGTAACAGTGATAGAGACACCCCTCCGTCGAGACTATTAACGCACCGAGGGATATGTATAACGACCAACAAGCGTTATAATATTCTTTGGAACAAACGATAGATTTCCTCTTCTGTATCCGTTGAGCTATCAGCGACACCATAGTACCTTGAGTAGCCTGCGTCACAACTTATGAGTTAATTGTTTTCGATTTGTGGCTATAACAATCAGTCGACCTTTAGGATTTACATCCCGAATCAGAGGACAATCGACTGCGAGTTTCCAGGAACTAATACACAAACGAAAAGCGAAGTAAAAATTCTCAACAAATTACCCAGATGTTAAGAACAAAGAATACGAACTTACAAACAAAATAAAAAAAATTTATACTATTCTCCAAACACGAAAGGGCCAACCTGTTCAGTACACTAGGGAAGAAGCGCCCAGTGCTAAACCAAATATTAACCAAAAACACCGTCTTCGTATCACCCTCATTCTCCCGACGCTCCGATTACACAGTTGCTTCAAACCTCACACTGGACTCCAACAACCCACCCTTGGGTCCACCAAAATATGACCTATTTGACCTCAAGGGTTTGTCCCAAACGGTAATTAAATGTCAAATTGTTCACCATCAACTCACATCGCCTATTAGTTCTCATAATCGAACGATCCCCATGATCCTTTGTAAAGGAGATCAAAGGTGTTCTTCATCTCAAATGTCCAAGACACTCTCGGTCTTTTAGAATAACAAACATCACCCAACGTTACTGAGTACGTTTCTTTCTACTGATATAAATATGGTGGCAGTCGTAAACACCTGTATTGTGCTTTCCTTTTTTTAAGAGTGTTTAATGTATGCTTGAATTTTGTTTTATTTTTTTTAAATGATAAGAGTTGTCTTTCCGGAAGTCATGTGACCTCCCGGATGTTTATATTGTGTTTGTGAGAGAGTAAAAGGGCGCTAAATGTGTCAACGATGTGATAACGTAATTATACTGCTGGTCTACTAGGAAAACACGTTTTCACGGTGTTTCATGATTCTGCAAAGAAGAGAATAAACGTGATTGTGGACATCAGTTCGATGCGTAAAGTTTTTTCAATACCAGAGTAGTTACACTTAACGCTTAAAAGTTTCACCCCAATTTCCACCATTAATTTCATCACAGGTTATTATTTTAGATTGCATGGCAGTGAATAGGCAAAGTAAGGGAGGGAAATAGCACAAGCCACATGTGTTGCACTGACTTGACATCAGTAAAAGCTACAACTACCTCAATGTAACGGCAATCTGATCTATAAAAAAAGGCAATGGCATTCGCTTTATGTGTGCTGAAATCGGAGGAAAGGCATTTTGCTGAAGCATGTGCTAGCCAGTTTCTGACTGGGTTATAGCGGAAAAGGTCAGCACTGTAAGAACACATAGTGCTCGCAATATGATAGCAGCAGAGAGAATACTAGCATTTGAGCTTATGCTCTGTGTAGCGCACGTTATACAGAGGGGGATCGTACCACCAAACGATCATAGTGTATGTGTTGCAAACATTCAGAGGTGGGAAGTAGTCGAGTACAAATACTTCGTTACTGTGATTAAGTACATTTTTCTGGTATCAGTACTCCACTACTTATATTTCTGACGACTTTTTACTTTCACTTCTTACATTTTGAACACAAATACCTGTACTTTCTACTTCTTACATGTGTGGTGGGGGGGGTGGGCCGGTGATTCATTTATGTTAGCGCATTGCGTGGCCTAGTTGATTTGAACGACGATTCGGGGTATCCCATCATTCGCTGGTCGTTCTCTAAGAAGAGGGGGACATGGAAAGACGTGTGTTTCATTTTTGCCGTTGTTCATCGCATGGACACGATTCAGTTAGGTGCGAACAATGACGATTATTGTTCATTGGAAGTGTAAAGGGAGGGTCAGGTGGCACTCTTTAAAAGTAGGCTGCTAGTTATTGGGTACTTTTTACGTGAGTACTTTCAAAGCCCTTGTTGTGTTTTCATTTGAAGGGGTAGGTGTAGTCGAGGTAGCTTCTATTTTACCCAGGAAGTATTTTAAACACCGAGTTATCTGTACTTCTCTTGAGTAGTAGAGGATGTGGTGGTTTTTACTTTTTGCGCATCTCTGATAAACTTTAAACATGTGGGAATCTTAGTTGTGTTTCCTGGATGGAACTGACCAGCACGAGTCCCTGTGCTAGCTTCCACGGAGCAGGTAGGCGCAGGGAGGAGGCCAGGGAGGTTTCTTCTTGCATCGTGGCGCGGCTCGGGGGGGGGCGAATGGAACCCGCTGGCGGGGAGTTCTGAGTCAGGGGACGTTTGAAGTAGACCGCGCGACGAAAAAAGGAGACTGTTTCGCGGCGAGGCGGCAGCCTTATTTGGAAGTCGCAGTTTGTGCTACGTTTTTACTGAAGCTACATTTCAAAGCCCTCTTTATCTTACTTAAGTAAAGAAGTTTAGTCAGTACTTCTACTTTTACCAGAGTACTTTTAAACACGAGTATCTGTACTTCTACTTGAGTAAAGGATGTGTGTACTGTTGCCATCTCTGTAAACTTTAAACATATGGGAATCCCAGTATGAATACTACCATACGAGTATATGCCATGTGTAGCACATATTATACAGAGCGTCCGAAAACTGTCCGATTTCATGCAAATAATTAACTTGTTATTATGAAGTAAAAAACCCTAAGATCTTTCTCACCAGTTCATCCTGGATTTCTTTATCGAGATCCATCCATGTTTTGATTTCCCTCAAACGTCATACTAGTATTTTAAACGTGTGTGCAATCATGATTTTATCGATATATATATATTGTGGTCAGCGCAACACATATTTTTGAATTGACCGATTGACACCATTACTATGATTGTCTCTCCCTTCAATGACACTGAGGTAAATTATACCAATTAATTAGTTATGCTTGGCATTTAGGGCACGATTTATCGAAATGTGGTCAAAATTGCAAAATCAACTAGAGCAATATTCTGGTTTAAGTTTTGCAGACAAACTATATTCTGCAGACTAAATAAAACATCCTTGTTCGGTAGAGATCCTCCAAATCACAACATGATCACTTAAATATATTTTTCCATGATAATGTGAATACCGTTCCCTCAAATATTGCGAATTGTATCTCAATAGTGCAGCCCTATTGTCATTTCATCCCTCCTAGCTGAGTGCATACAACATGCTATTTTGAACCACTCTCATCCGCCGGTGTAACAATAGTTTTCGTACCATTGCTGTAATTCAGGGCTGTGTTGCACAAATAGCTCTAGAGATGGAGGAAACAGGCCAATTTCACCTCGTTGATTTGGCGAGGCATGTGTTATCAGGACGGCTCCCTGAGCGACTGTGAAAGCTAATTCAGATCCTTATCACAACTGTCTCATACTGGAATGTAACCACAGCACTATCGCCCATTTTAAGCAGACAGGTGGAAGTGGACGGGTAATTGTCTCATACTATAACCTTTTGTAGGGGACACCTGTTTAATGCCCTCCCCCCACCGTACCTCAACACCCATGACCGCGGTGAAGCTCGTGTTCTGCTTCCGTCGGAGAAGCAAAAGTATAATGAAAAAGGAAAGAAGGAGGCAGATAAGGAAGGGGATTGCTCGAGAAAACGGTCTCTGAAATCGCAAAAGCTATCCGCAATGCCTTATGTGGAGCAATGGAATTGTTCTCCACATTCCTTCTTAATTTAAAAGATTTTTAAATGCTAAAATAATGTTTGCAAGCAAGATGTTTTTTTAAATATGATGAAAAATGCATCATTCCAGTGCTTGTGCTCATGAATGTGGGAATCTGATTGCCTACAAAGGTATTAAAATGTTTAAATATTACGACCCAGTAATCTTTTCATATTCGATCCTATGTCACATGCATTGAATATGATTTGTCACCATCAAATAGGAGATGCAGGGTCCCATGACTGAATAAGGTTAGACTAAAGCACTCTTTCGTGCACAAGCAAGTCTTAAAAATGAAATACAAAGTTTATTCCCAGATTAAAAATATGTAATAATGTTAAATGGTAAATGTCTGTTTCATTGTTTCTTAAATGTTTTTCAATAATGATGTTGCAAATGGGCATAATGTGATGCAAGGAAATTGTGCCAAAGAAGAAAATTAATGAGTAACCTTGTAAGTGCCAAACTGAAAATAGTCATAATATGTCCTCTTTAAACAAGAGTTGTAATCAAATGAATATTAGGGTTACCTAGACACAATGTTTGCCTTATGTCATATATTGGCTATGTTTTGATGATTTGAGGATCAGCCAAACCAGCTTCTGGAATAAATTGAAGACGAAAACCATACAAGACATTTCTAATGAATATAACATTTAGCTGCATATTTATTTTGCTGCATTACATTAGATATGGAGCATCTCTCGAGGACAGAAGCCTACAATTAGATTACTTGCTGACAGTGACCTTTCCTCCAGAGTGCCTTGATAAGGCCAGCCTAAAGCATCACATCCACATGTTAAAGGACATGCTGAAATTAGCAGAGAAAGAGATAATTAACCTTTGGATTTCATTTGTATTCATTAAAACCACACTTTTTTTTTAAAAACTGGACCAAACTGGTCCCACTTATGCATTACACACTTTGTATCCCATCAGTGTAGATTATCTTAAGGGTTTTGAATTGATGCTGTTGAAAAAAGTGGTTTGAATATGGACTTGCTCACAATGCCTTCATTCAGTTCACCTTTTTCTTTTGGCTCAACCAAGATCATTTCGTACAGCAGCTAAGGAACGCTCCAATAGATTCAAGTGCTGTAACGGAAAATGGAAACTGTCATGTTCGAAGTTTAGCAATTTCGACGTAAAAGTGTGGTGCACTGATGTCGTACTTTTGTAGACCGACCCAGTAATATTGGATAATAATATTTACAATACTTTCATGTTTTGTTCTGCAAGATAATCTTCCCGTATTAACAACACTTTAATACGTTTTTGTTGTACTTATTTACGTAATACTATAAACGAACTACATGGTCGCACAGACATCCAGTTGTGCTGAATGTGATAAAGTTTAGTAGTCTCAGTCATAGGAGCTTCAGAAATTCAGTCATTACTGCCGTATTTCATGTCTTAGAACAAAAAGTGAAAATATCGTAAACTTGTTTTAACCAAGGATCTTTTTTCAGGCATCTGACAAAACATTTTTGGAAGGCTGAAACCTGAAACTCCAGCCTTACACATCAAAATCAGATGTAATGTGAACTTAACATCCACATTGGAAAAGGGGTAATCATGTGGAAAAGCATGGATTTGATTAGAACAACTTGATACAATTAGGAGGCGACATTTGCGTTTAAATAAACATACCAATGAAAGGCTACTGTAATAAGCAGATTACGAGAAACAGTGTGATATCCAGTGCATTTCCTGGAACAAATTCCAAGGCCAACAATTGTTTTAGCCGTAGTTAAAGTTTTAGTTGGTTAGTTTGCATGTTAAAAAGCATGGCTCACCATCGCTGCGGAGCACTAGAGGAGTGGGCGGACCCTCCACTCGGGACTTTGTGACGGTGTTAGTCACCACACAGGTGTAGTTTCCAACATCCGAGGGCTCCACTTTGGCGATGTACAGATTACCCGTCTCCTGGGAGATGAAGCGCCGAGTGTCCTGCATCACAAATGTCGGGTACTCGTTAAAGATCCAGGAAAACACGAGATCTGTGGATAAAGAACACAAGAGAATTCTTACTTTAAATGAGACATGAATACGGTTTTGTAACAGGGTGGAGACCATTTATGTTGTGGTGCAGGAAGCATGTGATAAGTTTTGGACCTCCGAAGGGTAGCAAAATTAGTATTGATTATTCGGCAGCCCTGGCGAATAATAATCGATTATTCGACCGAACCCCCACCCCCACCCCAGCGGGAGAGAGAAAAAATAAAACTCAGACAAAAGGAATTCCGTTGTTTTCTTTACTGGAACATGTTTAACAGTACACACAAAATAAACAACAAATACACCAACATCAACATGATTTTGGTTTATTTTTTGTTATTTTCTAAAGTGCCTGCCATTGCCTTTATTTGGAGATGCGCTATGCGCGCACAATGTATTTATTGCAATGCTGCCATTATTAAATACAGACTACAGCTTGTATTAATAATAGCAGCATTGCAATAAATATTATTATAGCAATGTATTTATTGCAATGCTATTATTAATACAGGCTGTAGCCTGTATTATTAATAATAGCAGCATTGCAATAAATACATTGTGCGCGCGTGTGCCGGACATGATAGGTTGGGACGTGTCACGTGTGTCAGAGAATGTAGGTTGGGACGTGTCACGTGTGCCGGACATGATAAGTTGGGACGTGTCACGTGTGTCGGAGAATGTAGGTTGGGACGTGTCGTGTCGGCCGGATGTCGCCAATGACGTTATAGGAGCAAAGATCCTGGATCTCCTTGTTAGAACCCTTGTTTTTATTTTTGAGATGTGGGTACGGAGGAAAAGAGAGAGGGTTTTGTTTTCTTATAAACATACATATTGATGTATAAAAGACATAAAAAAGTGCATTTTGCATAATAGGTCCCCTTTAAATACGGAGGTCAGATATACGACAGAGGGTCTGCAACATGTGTTCTTCAGAGATCGTAAAGTCACGTTAAATGTTTCCTTCCTATCCTCTCTAAATATCTCTTGATGTGCTCGTGGAGCTGCTGAGATGCAGGAAACCCTTCAGTCTGGATCAGACTGTAGAGTATTATGGTATTGATTCATCTGCAGATCATTTACCTTTAGTGGTTATAGTCTTAAGAGTCAACAGATGTCACAGCTTACAGAGACTTCTTCAGATGCTTTGACCAAAGACTAAACACCCACAATATTTACTTTATATAATTATATGTTTGGGAGAAGAGTAGGAAATCCTCTCATTAGAGAGGGTGAGTCTGCAATTAGGGGGATAAAGGTTTGTGTGTGTGTGAACGTCTGAAATCTAGACATCTTCGTCATGCCTCCCTCTGAGTGTCTCTGCAGCTGTTTTCAATCAAACACACTAAACTGGACCAGATGAAGGACAGTTGGACTCTCTTTAGATCAGTGTTATAAACCTGCTCCTGTGTGTGAGCAGCTGTTTGTTCACTGATGTTGGCAGAGAGGAAGTGACCGGATATCAACTTCAGTCTGAATCCTCTCTCTCATTTCCTCCTGCTCTCTGACATGTTTGTAGTTCATATTATCTGCTCTCTCTGAAGGAGGACATGTTTGTAGTTCATATTATCTGCTCTTTAGTGAAGGAGGACATGTTTGTAGTTCATATTATCTGCTCTGTAGTGAAGGAGGACATGTTTGTAGTTCATATTATCTGCTCTTTAGTGAAGGAGGACATGTTTGTAGTTCATATTATCTGCTCTTTAGTGAAGGAGGACATCTTTGTAGTACATAGTATCTGCTCTCTCTGAAGGAGGACATGTTTGTAGTTCATATTATCTGCTCTTTTGTGAAGGAGGACATGTTTGTGGTTCATATTATCTGCTCTCTTTGAAGGAGGACATGTTTGTAGTTCATATTATCTGCTCTTTAGTGAAGGAGGACATCTTTGTAGTTCATATTATCTGCTCTGTAGTGAAGGAGGACATGTTTGTAGTTCATATTATCTGCTCTTTAGTGAAGGACATGTTTGTAGTTCATATTATCTGCTCTTTAGTGAAGGAGGACATGTTTGTAGTTCATATTATCTGCTCTTTAGTGAAGGAGGACATCTTTGTAGTTCATATTATCTGCTCTGTAGTGAAGGAGGACATCTTTGTAGTTCATATTATCTGCTCTGTAGTGAAGGAGGACATGTTTGTAGTTCATATTATCTGCTCTTTAGTGAAGGAGGACATCTTTGTAGTTCATATTACAAACATGTCCTCCTTCACTACAGAGCAGATAATATGAACTACAAAGANTAAAAGAAATGTGGGACATTTTTTTTACAAAAAGTAAAAATGTCATTTGGAAAAATAAATAAATACATGTTCAAATAAGTATAGAAACCAAGTCGAATTTGTCAAATGTATTGAACTGGTGATCACAGTTTGAACAGTTGACAGCTAGCCATAGCTTTCATGCTTAAAACATAACTTGGTTTTCTGATGGATTTGGACATAAACGCGAGTGAAGTATAACCGGACGCGAGAGAGAGAGACCAGCACCTGCAGCTCTGCCCGCTGTGAGGGACCGGTGAGCGGAGCCACACACACCTTTAGACCTAACACATTTATGGCACTGTTGTATACATTGAATTATTCCATTTGATCATATGTAATCAACTTAGGCACCCCTCCCAAAAATCAATGGACTTCTCTTTCAAAAAGCCCGTGATATTAGAGATGTTTTTGTGACTCTTGTTAGGTTACATTTCCTGGTGGTAAAAAAGTATTATTAGCTTGATCTGCATCAGAACAGCAGCTGTATCCCTGCTCCCGTCTAATGAGAGCAGGACCATGGAGGATTCGTGTTGTCCCGTATGTCCCGGTGGGCTCAGGCTTACCTGTTGAAATAATGATGCAAGCCGTTGCCTGTGTTAAAGTAGCATCATGTATGTTGCAATCCCCTTCCTCTTCTTCAGGGAACACAAGTTACTGTCATAACATTTGGATTTCTCAGAGGTACTTGTCTCGGTTGTGTTCTTTCGAATACTAAAGTAAGTTACCACTAGACATCTAAGGTTTATTCAATAACAAATCATCTCTGTAGTTTAGCTAGGATCAAATACACTGTTTCTCTTAGGGTTCTTGAAAATGATGTTGGGAAATTGTAAAATATACTCTCGTATTAATTCTAAGCCCAACAGTAAGATTCTTAATCTATTTATTTTTATGAATTTTCATTTTAACATGACAATCACAATGTATCTAAAATATATATCCTTCAGTATCAGCTGTCAGACTGACAATAACACAAATATGAATCTGTAAATGACAAATAAATATACAAATGAGAATAGCTTTAATAAGACGACCAGGCCAGTCACACCTTCAGTTATTTAATGCTGTTGTCATCATTGTGTTTGTTGTTTTTAACGTTTCCTGTTTTTAAATATATATTTTCTCTCGTCTTGTTTTACTTTCTGTTTTTGTGTTTTCCCTCATTTCTAATTGTTTGCCCCAAAGATGTTCTGTCCTCTCCATCTGTGTCTTGTTAATGTAATTAATCATGTCTCTATATATTCTTGTCTCGTGTCCTTGTTTCCTGTCTGCTTCCTAGCTCCTTGTGTTTCTTTGTGTCATCCTGCTTTGTCTCTCATGTGTGTTTGCTTCTTTCCCTTTCTTTTACCTGGCCTGTTCTTTAAGTTTCGTGTTTTTTTGGCAACAGCTTTAATTGAATTGAATGGCTTTTTGTTCATAATATTTGTAAACGTGCCTCTCTTCCTTTATACTGCATTTGGGTCCTGCCTTTCATAAGCCCTTATGGAAACTGTATAACTCAAAAACATAGGCCATGTGTGTCACCTCTTTACTGCTACTCACTGGCTCGTACACTCTAGGAAACCTTCACACACACACACACACACACACACACACACACACACACACACACACACACACACACACGCATCTCCTGGAGACTTACCCTAACCTTAACCATAACCAACACATGCCTAACCCTTACCCTTTATCCTTACCCTAACCATTTTGGGAATACTATAAGGGAAGCCAGTCCCCACACGTGACTGTGTAAACATATTTAGGTCCCCACAAGGATAGTAATACTAGGTCACACACACACACACACACACACACACACACACACACACACACACACACACACACACACACACACACACACACACACACACTCATACATGCATGCATAGCGCAGCATTCCATATGCAGCTATAAGTGTCATCCTTTATTCATTCAGCAATGGGCAAGAACAACAAAAAAGGGACCTCTGCCAGAAAAATGTTGAATGTCTAACTCAATATGTAATGTTGTCATTACCACTGACTACCTACACACAGTTATTATTTAAATCTCACCTACTTCTACTGTGCAGCTTACAACTAGCTTATGTCTTCTAATGTGACCAAGACATCCTCCCTGCTCCTACAGTTAGCTTTAAAGAGACAATGAAGTAGAGTCGGAGTGCAGATCAGGCGTGACACACCCCAGCCCTGATGCACAAAGGCAGAGCGCGGTGCTTCATGCACACTCACTCTCCGTCTGACAGGCCAATGTCAGAGCACGCTGGAAATATATGCTAATTACTATCTGAAGAGTCAAAGGGAAGGGGAATGGATTATCTCAATGTGGCTACATCACAAAAACCACCACACCTTCAAGATTTCCTTCAAATGTGCAGTCCAGTCCCCCTCCTGTGTGTCACTGTGGATCAGAGGCAGCAGGAGGAGCTGAGCGGCTGTCAGCTTCTGTCTTTCTCAAAGCCAAGCGCATTAATGGGCTGCCGGTGTGACCCAGCCGCACTCTGTACTACACGATAACTGTGTTTAGGTGCCGACCTAATGCTGCCGGCCTCTATTTTCTAATGGGGAAAGACCTTAAAGGGGCACTCAAGACTGCAATCGCTTGTGCGCATCTCCATTAAGAGTTGATGTTTCTCTTGTGTGTGTGTAGCGTCCCTGCTTTGCCCCCACCCCGAGGCTCTGAGTACACAGAGCATGTGCTTCCTGTCCTGTAAAGGAAGTAGTTGAACAGAGGATTCTGGG